CGATACAAATACGAACATCTATACATATGCCAAAGTAACTACAGATTCAGCGTCTTAAAAATAAAATAATCTGACTAATTTTCAAAGAGATTCGATTCAAGTATACGATGTGGCTTGCCCAGTGAACGATGTAGATAATTTGTACGTGGCAAGTAACGTCATAAGTACAATCAAACAGCAACTAAGGATAAACCATAAGTATTTTACCTCTCTATTAATTTTTTAGGGAGTAGTGTACCACATCACAAGGTATGAAAGCATTGCATCACCATCCAAACTACGTCTAACCAATTTAGGAAGATACCACTTTTTTTCTAAAAAACTCATCTCGATTTCTTTTCATTTTATCTCTTCTTCTAGAATATCTTGTTGAAGTAACTTGTTTAGCTTTTAATTCCATGGTGAATAAACTATTAGTTGTGGGTACGGCACATGGCGAATTGAATTTGTACACAACTAGAAGAGTTAGTACAAACAGTGTAGTATCACTTATTAATTAGACAAAAACAAGAAAAAACGAAACATCATTTTTTTACAGATGAACTAAGTTTATCTCGGCCACTGGCATTTAGTGACCAACAAGCAATTGTTGGATGTGCGTGGAGTATGACAAGACCAAGTGTATTTTTTGCAAACGATGCTGGTGGTACGATTAAATGTTGGGATTTATCAATGGATGAAGTACAGCCAGTTAACAGCGTAACTATTCCCAAGTAATCGAAAGATCAATAATTAGTATACTTTATATTAGTAAACATATTATTAGTTTTAACTTTTTAGTTTAACTCATTTCATTCTCTCAAGCAGTAACATATATGAAACATCATTTGCTATCGTTGTTCGAACATCGAAGTCATCAAAACAAAAAACAACAATCCCCAAATCTACGAATATTGAAGTTCATCATTTAAGAAAAGATTTGGCTACTCGTTCAGAAAAATGTTCAGATAAATTTAGAAAAATATTAAAAGATATATTGACAGATGCTTGAGTAAACTGTTGTTCATTTTTCGCAATATCTATGTTTTATTGTACAAAGACAGTGTATTGTTGTTATTCTTACTGGAAAACAGTGCTTTTTGTTAATTTTTTTTTTATCGTTGTTATATCAAATATCAACATTAATTCTGCTAAAACAGCAACAGTCAAGGTGTTTGATATTTGATTTTATCGATACTTTTTGTAGTAATTGTATTGTCACTTGTTAAATAAGATGAATCAAACAATGACAGGCACCACTGTAGTGCAATATCACATGTTTCTGTTTTTTAACGATGTTATGTTGTTGTTCACTAAAATTGGACTATATAGTTCTTTCTACACGATCTTTTAACTGCGATTATTTTATAATATTGATCATATAAAATCTATTACTTGTTCCTGTGAGATGATCAATTGTAAAGTGTCAAATATGTATAATATATTCAAAATTACTTAACATAAATTTAAGTCATAACAAAAAATAAAACTATAAGTATTCGAGAAAAATGTGTTAATTATTGATTTGTTAATTGTTCAAACTATAAAAATTAGAAAAGAAGAGAATTATATTTATTAATTAAAAAATTTTAGTCTCATGTTTTATCTTACTTCACTTTGTTGTTTATCTATTTGTGCTTGAACAGAATTTAATCTTGTCATCACCATACTCTAGATTAATAAAAATATCTTATAATTGAATCACACGTTATACAATAATCATTCTTACTTTTAAAACTGGATTTGTCATTTGATTTAATTCTGTTTCAAAATTTTTCTTTTGTTCATTTAAACGATCAAGCTGCCCTCGACATTCACTGAGTTTTGTTTTTGTTGTTTCATCCATATGAACCATGTCAGTTCGTTCGACAATTTCATCTTGTGTATCATTGCTTAATTCTTCATTTTGTCCCCAATGAATTGCGTCAGTATCTAGATGGATATCTGTACTCATATCGGTTGGAAGATCACCCACAGCCGAACTGAATAAACCTTCAAAATCAATTCGATCATTTGTTGGTTCACCCACTGAGCCGGGTACATCTGAATTCATTGAGAATTTTGTTTGAGAAGCTTCATCATCGGATTCACTAACAGCACCACCGAACAAATCCGTTTGTGCAACGTCTTCTTTTTCTCGTTCTTTCTCATGTGTTGTGTGGTGATTGCTATGTTTTGCAGTGGTTGTTGTAGTTGTTGTCTCTTCTTCGTCATACATCACTTCAAATTTAACACTGACTGCTTCATTATCAGCGCGAAATAATCGGCGTACTTCTTTTTCAATTTCCGCATGATCCTGTGTCTTCTGTCGAGCTACTTTTCGAAAACGACGTTTACGTACATTTTTTAACGGTGGAGTAATGCCATGCGGCCATTGGAACTTTTTCTCATGTTCTTTTTTCTTCTTAGTCTTTGATTCTATATCGCTTAAATTTTTATGTTTCTCATCATCTTCACTTGAACTATGATCATTCGGCAAACGGCATACTAACAACTAAATAAAGAAAGACAACAAATTAAAGAACTTATCTGCTCCAGTTACTATCTCGCACGTTAATGCGGAGTTCACTTTGTATTCTAACGTATTCAGTGCAAGTTTATTTCTAATCTTCTGTTAGACAGCCTTTTATAGCCATCAAAAATATCCAGATGGCTGAGAGTCATTATTTACTTATTTTGTCTCTTCTATGTGTCTGTTGTCTAGGTGCTGAGTTCTCTTACGTTTTTGAATTTATCTAAGCAAAGATGAGTTAGATTTCGTTGAATAGTTAAATGTAATAACTCACTTTGGCAGATGGTTTGATGTAGAATCACACTGTGCGAAGGGAAAAATTTCAGAATTACTGGTTGAAATCAACACACTCTAGAAGTGATTTTCTCATTTCTTTTTAGGTCAGTACTTCTGTAACCCCATAGAAAAGATTAGTTTACTTATCTTCTTAATTAACAGAGTTAACGGGGCAAAAAAAAACGAGTGATTAAGTGTACAGTTTAGTTCACACTCAATGAAGGTTCAGTTCGATTTGAGAAATATAGAAAGGTCACATGTAAAGATTGTTAACATTTACCTGAGAAATATCAGCAATTTTATACAATGTTTTTCGATCAAATGTTTTGTAAGATTCTATTATACATGGTAAATCGTACAGCGTTGCCTTAAACACAATATCGTCAAACTTTACTCGGCCCTTACGTGTTTCAGGATTCAAATCAATAAATAATCGTTCTTTTATTTTTTCATCACCAGACGCCACAAGATCACGCAATTTGTCAGCATATTCACCCTAAACATAATAGCAAAACAAATTTTAAAAAATTTATATTTTCAAATGACTTAAATTTGAACTATTCGAGTCAATGCTTAAGAGATTATTTTTCTACAAAATACTCATTTTATCTAATTTTTGTTGTTTAAACTTTCTGAAAATATAACTTATCAGAAAACTTTGAATTAACCAAATCTAGGAAATGTACATCAGGTTTAATAATATTACCGATGGAAGACGTAAAATAAATTCACTTTCTAATTCAAACTGGTCTTCACCTTTGTCTTTTTTGGACATTTTCGTCGGAAAATCTAGAATAGACGAAGTTTAATTCCCACACATTTCTTTTCCCTTTTGATTGTAGCTATGCTACTGATTCAAACTTAGGAGTTTACGAGAAACGCAAAACAGAAGACAGAAATATGTGATATTCTCATGTTTTGAGTCACCATGAATGACTTGTTCATGCGTGGCTGGATTCGAACTATGTATTGTAAAATACTCGCATATGATTGCAACATGACACATAATATAACTCGCAGCTATTGTAAGAGGAACTTCAAGTGTATAAAGGAAGGTAAGAAAAGTCATTTTATATCCAAAATGTGTTTTAGAAAATGGCTTTTAAAAAAGATTTTTTATTCCCCTTCTTTATTGTGAAAAATGTGTGACAGAAAAAAAAACAAATATACTTTAAACTATGTAGAGAAACAATCAAGAGAGGAAAATGTCTTCCTGTAGGTAACAATACGAAGTTAATATGTTCAAATACAAATAAATTTCGTTTAAAACTGCTTGTTAAACCAAGAGGGAAGCAAAAACGATAGACGTAACAGATAAATGAGCAACAAAAAAATTTCCTAAGTATAAAAAACACTCATCTTGTTTAAACTGGACTGAATTGATCGTAAACGAATCAGATTTATTCAACTTCATTTTCCATCGATAAGAAAGTATATTGTGTAAATACACCGTCGTCCGTATCATCGTTTTGTGCTAGCACACTAGCGAGTTGAGTTAGTGAACCCTACAAAGATAAAGAAAAAGAAAAATGCCATCAAGAACACACAAACACCATTTTTTACGTCATTAGTCGACTGCTGACTCAAAATCATTTGTTCATTTTCTATTGATGTTATTTTCCACCATGAAGAAGAAGGTGTACAATAGTTTAACATTGAACTTGAAAAAAATACGTTATTTTTAGGTGAAATGGTAACATTCGATGTTAAACGTTCACACAACGTTGACAAACGAGCGGAATATGTTTGTATTTTAATATCATTTGATATACTATATAATTTCGTTTTTGTGATGCTAAAAAAAGGAAAGATAGTACATTACTTAGTACATTTTTTTACATAAATTCTATTGTACATAAGTATTAACGATAAGCCATTTCGAACTGTCATTCAGATATTGAAGAAATGTTATCAAACACCCGACAACTTGCCACAGTAGCGTTTGTACTGCTTCAACTGTCTTTAAAATGTTTTCAACACAACGAGAGCTTAAAATTTTTTATAATCAGTTATAAGATATTATCCATACGAGAGTCGTATCTTTCGAGACTTACTCTGAGATTGTTTTACTGCTGGTTGATTGTTGTTCTACAACAGGAGGTGGTTCGAAAAATGATTTAATGGACGACGAGAGTGCAATAGCCTAAACGTAGGACAAAATAAATAGTAATACGTTAACGACACCCAGTTTTTACCAAATGTTGTTGTTCGTCGTCTTTGGTTTGAGGTATTTCCAATTTTAATACTCTATTTTTTATTGTATTCGTTACTTTTGTTTTTTTCTCTTTTTTTACAGAATTATCATTTGAATTTGGTATTGTTTGTATATTACCACATTCTTTTCCAGCAAAATTGACAACATATGACAATTGTACGCCATATTTTGTAGAACATTTTTTTAAATGTGAAAGATATGTACGTTTTACAGTAAAGTTAACACCGCATATTTGACAATTATAATTTGTAGATGATTTCTTTACTGACGTTAACGATGCTTTTTTGACTGTATGTGAAAACGTTGGATATGATAATAAACTTTTTTGTTGCTTTGGTAATATTTTTGGATCATCCTTAAGATAAAAGTGTATCGTAAGTAGAATCCAAACATCAATTTCTTTAATAATCAGATTAGATATCGAATAACTCGAAAAACAGGCTTCTTATATCAATATATCAATAATCATTTGCTTTCTTGTATTCAATCCTATTTCTATCGTAAGAGCCTAACTACGAAATTCTGTTAAATATCATTAACAACGTACATGTTTTATTTGTAAATCCAAACATTGATTAACATGTTCTAAACGTTCGTTTGCTGTTAAATTATGAAAAAAATTACTACATATTGGACAAATTGCTTCATTATTCTCTATTTCACTAATAATTTCATCAAGACACATTTTTACATCAGTAGTTCTAGAAATTTTTATTGTTGATAGTATTGGTATTGTCGTATTCTTTGGTTTTGCTGCTTCTTCTAGTTTTTGGCGTTTATTCTTTGTAGTATCAATGAAATCATCATCATTATCATCATCATTATCCAATATTTTTTTCTTCTTACTGGAGTTCTCTATGACATCATTTTCTTTGCATGAATTACTACGGCATTTTTTCGTTTTTTCGTCCATATATTTTTTCACCACATAGTTATTCATTTTCTTTTTCAATTCATCCTGTAGAAACAAATCATTACTTTCTTTAACATTTCGTTCACGTTTGTTTAACAATTTTTGAACAATTTTTTGAACTTGCACACTTGGTATTGGGGAATTTGCTGTATTTGAATTTGTTAATGGAAAATATTTTGATAACATGTTTTTACTATCCTAAACCTCCTTCTTTACGTCGTTTTTGTGTTAAGTCACGAAAACGTTGTAAATTATCTTCGCGAATTTGCTCTTTAATACGTGCTTGATCGAATAAAGTAAGAGCTTTTTCTAATTCTAAAACAGCAGCAAATAAATGCAAACAAGCGTGAACACTGGACAAAGAGCAAAAAGTTTACCGTCTTTTGTTAAGCCTTCCGCTGTCTTAATCAAACTATGATCACCGGTCTGGAGGCCTTTCTTCGCTTCTTTATATAATCGCTTTTTTCTAAAACATCAGCGAAAGGATGGATTTATGAGTATTAAAAGTATATTCTGTGTGACTTACACATAAACAACTGCAAAAGCAATTAGAATTCCAGTACATGTGCAACTAAATGCGAGTGTGTATTTAAAAAGAGTTTTGTGTTTCCAAAGGCCACCAAACGTTGTTTCACGTAATCGTATCATTCAAATTTGAAAGCTATAATCATTATCTTTAAAGATAACAATAAAACTATACAATTCCTAAACGTATCGGTTTAGTACATATCTTGAGGTAGAGGAAATATGTGAATACTGTGACTATCTGAATGGTTCGTGAATTAGCAGGTAAACAGAGTATTCTTAGAATAAGATTCACAAGCATGACTCACACATATTATTGCTTAGCAGCAATGTCTTTCGAAAAGATAAAGAATTACACATTAGTTAGTTGAAAGTTTTTCAGAGTCAGAGACAAAATCTGCGGAAATATGATAAAAGTTATAAACAGGCTTATTTCTAGTATTTTCCGTACGTTACTCTTAACAATCAATAATTTAAGAGCGAATAAACTTGTTTGACAATCAGTAACTCCCCGCCCGACTTTCTAATGAGAACAGTGGATATAGCAATGTCTAGGTCCACCGCAGTAATACTACACTTTTGGCGTACTTTTACCCACTGAATCTTTCGTAAAATTAAAGATAGAGTTGTCCATTAATGCATGCAACCAATCAAATTTTAATTCTACACCTCTATATTGGTTTACATAGAAAATCGTTAAAACAAACAAAAAATACTAAATTATTGTATTGATTTATCACCATCATTGATAACGATTATCATAGCCACTAGTCGGACTTGTTTCTAGTGTGCTGCCGCAAGAAAAACGGGATGGATATTACCACTCGCAAGATAGTGCCTAGGTTCGAATCCATCTTAGGAAATACATATTTTTTTCTGTTTTTTCATTGCTTATTATGTATAATGACATGTGCGTCACTCAGCAACGGTCTCAGTACCAGCTCAAGTCAAAGCCTTGCCGACGAGTCGATTCTAGACATTTCCCATACCAGCTGTTCACTGGGCTTAGTAGTGAGGCATAGAGAAGACTCTTGACAATTCCGTTTTACTCTAAAATAAAAAGATGATTTAAATAGAATTGAATTTTTCGTTGAATCGTGTTTCTTATATACATATTTTACGGCAAAATAAAACAGTGAGTAAGGATAACCATTTAATCGCTTAAAACCAACAATTAATCGCAATTAATTGATGATTTTTAAAACAAAGAACAATCATCAGAATCGTCAATTAATTGGTAAAAATACCGCGAGTTCGTCGACATGGATGGCAGCAACAACTGCCCCCCTCCCCCCCATAATAGAAGACCAGTGGTCTTCTATTATGCCCGCGAAAAAAATCGGAAAAATGCCAAACGTACTTCTAATAGGGGATGGACTTCAAGCACGCGGGGGTTACCGTTGGACTGCTCGCAGGCGACAAAGTTTGATCGCAAGAGAAGGCCACCCTTTAGAACTCGACTTGCGGGACAAAATAGAAGACCAAGTGGTCTTCTATTATGGGGGGGGGGGGGGGGTTTTGCAAAAGACCG